CCTGGTCTGTGGGCTTCCCGGCCCCTTGGAGTTTCTGGGCTTATCTGAAGAGGCCTCTGGTCTTTATTTCTTCCCCAGCCAATTAAAAGTCGGCTCCAGAGCCTGTCCTCCCCTGCCCTGACTTAATCAGGAGCCCCACCTCCTCACATGACACTGGGGGAAACTGAGGCTCAATAGAAGGGGAACACTTTCCAGCTTGCTTGCTGGTGACAGAGCTGACCAAGAATGAGCTATTATCCACTTCAAGTTTAAGCCCTGTGCTGCTCTCTCCATCTCCTGAGTGCCCTTCCCCTCAAGTGTGTCTACCAGCTCCAGGCTGTTTGCTTGGGTCCTGATAAGCAGGGAGCCTGAAGCCCTTGTTCTGGGCAGGGCAAGGGCAAGGCCCAGAGTTCTGACCACCTTATCTTTTTAAGCCAAGTGGGGGGGGGGGAGGAGCATTTGGGTGACACTTGGGCTGGATAAGGTAACCCAGGGTTGCCTGGAAACTTGGAATGTGAGGGTGCAGACAGAGAAGTAGGATTCTGAGTCGCACCCAGGAGGAGGTAGCTCAAGGCCCCTGGCCCAGACTTAGACTCTGTGCAGAAAAACAGAGGCCAAAACCTTAGAGGTACCAGGAGGACTGGCTTGGCTCTTTCAAAGATAAAATAGGAGCTGGAGATGTAGCTCAGTTGGTAGTCTTTGCTTAGCATGGGCAAATCCCCAGGTTCCGTTCCCAGCACTACTTAAAACTAGGTGTGGTAGCATACAGCTGTAATTCCAGCACCTGGTAGAGTCCAGGGTCATCCTAGGCTACACAGTAAGCTGCAGGCAGGCAAGTCCCTGCCTAAAAAAAGAAATAGAAAAAATAAGGATAGGTCTTTGCTAAGTGGAGGGCAGGAGGGCAAGTGGGTGTGTCTGGTGAGGCTGGGGTTTACTCACAGGCTTCTCAGCTCCAGACCATCCCTGGGCTGCACATTTGTGTTGGGAAAGGAAAACAGGATAGAGGGCTTTTCAAGAATGCTAGGGCTGGAGGATAGGGTGGGGGTGGTGCAGGCCTTTAACCCCCAACATTCGGAAGGCAGAGGCAGGAGGATCTCTGTGAGTTTGAGGCCAGTCTGGTCTACAAAGTGGAGTTCCAGGACAGCCAGAGCTGATACACAGAGAAACTGTCTTTAATCCCCCTCCAAAAAAAAAAAAAAAAAAAAAAAAAAAAAAAATGTTGGGAAAGAGTGAAGTGTCTGTTCTGGTTCCATTCAAGAACACACCATTCAGTAGGATCTCAGTTGGGGTCTGCCTCCCTGCGGTAGACTTACTGACCTTTAGAGCCCAGGACTTCTGCCTTTTCTCCTGACACCACAGGTACCTAAGGGGTAGCCCGTGTTCTGGAATGGAAACAAACTGTGAACAAGATACAGATCCCACTTTTGGGGAGGATCTAAGCTGGCAATTAATTCCAGCAGACTGAACTCATGTTGAGGAATGGCCACAGCAGGCATTCCAGGGATCCAGAGAACACATGTTGGGTAGACAATGCCCAGGACCTTGGCTGCCATGCTACAGAACTGAGAACTGAACAGGGGCAGCCTGAGCCTAGGGAGGAACAAGGCTGACTATGGCTAGAGGCCAGTGAGTGGCTGGGAAGAGGAACACAAGGCTGGCAGTGAGCAAGCTTTAAATAACTTCAGGAGGGCCACATGTCACACTGGCACTGGGCACGGAGCTGGGCAGCTGTGTGCGTGGCTAATGGAGGTAACTGAAGGCTGGGTTGTAGTCCAAGTAGGAGCTTCTCTGTAGTTCTGCTAGAAGATGGATTCTGTGCCCATCTTCTAGAGTCCAGAGTGACTGTTTCTTGCCAGCCAACTTCCTGTGGGAAGTGTGGGAAGAGGCTGGACTCCTATATGGCTACAGTAGCTGTCTAGGCTCTAGTGGTGCCCCAGGTTGGGGACAGAGCAACTGTCTGGAGTCTGCAGAGGGTCATCCAGGGAGAGGCACAAGTCCATAGAGAGGGCCAACAACTCCATGTGGTTTTGGCCAACCAGCTAGAGGTAACCACAACTCACCCTGTGTTCTTAGTGTGCAGTCTTTGATCTGTATGTGGATGCTTAACTTTGTGGGTAAATCTATGTGTATATAGTTGTTCACAGTTCCTCTGTCCCTGCCTGTTTGGGCTTTGGGACACACAGAGTCCCACAAGTTTACCCTCTTAGCTATGGCTTGTGGAAGCTTGGGAAATAGTTAACCAGCTTGTCTCCCAGAATGACAGCTCCCTATGTGTGAAGGAGTTGAGGAGGCCACAACTATCTGTGAAGAGTCTCATAATCCCAAGAGGTGATTGAGAGTTTCTGTCCAGGAGTTCAGTGACACCATCCCACTTCTACTAGAGGGTCCCCAGCCCAAGAGATCCTGAATATAGCTCCCCCTGCAGGCCTGTGGGGCCTTCAGTATGAAATGATTTCTAGATAGATGTGTAAAATCTCTGCTAGTCAATGTCAGATGCATATCCCTCTTGCTTGGAACATTACACTTATGGTGCAGCAAGCACTGAGCACACATATCTGATGACAAGTAGAGAGTGCCTTCTCTCTGTAAGTAACAGTTATTCATGGTTGGGGGAGGTACAAATCAATACAGCCATTATAGAAATCAGCTGGGAGATTCTCAAAAAATGAAAAGTAGAACTGCCATGTGACTCTACTATTTCACTCATGGACATACACCCAGAGAACTCCAAACTCTACCAGAAGGATAGTTGCACCCCAAATGTTTATTACTGCTTAATCCCTATAGCAAAGAATTGGAATTAACCTAGTTGTCTATCAACAGATGACTAGATAATGACATTTTTGTGTATATAAAAAGATATGGTACTATTCACCTGTGATATTTTTTGATTTCTGCCTTTTTAGTCAATATGATCTGATTGATCATTTCATGATCCATCCATGTGATTTGCTTTCTCAATCTGAGGCCCCTGGTCTAGACCTACAGTGGATGCCTGCAATCAGGTTAATTCCAAGTCTAGACTGTTGTTTTTCCTATATATGCAGATCTGTGATAAAACTTCATATATGTTAGACACAGTGAGATTTAATGGCCAATCCAAACAGAACAGTTATAGCATAGCTTTGTTAAGTTACATGGTCTCTCTCACTGGTAAGTTTTGTTTATGAGCTGTTGATCTACATGTTTTTGTAGCTGGGTGATAACAAAACTAGTGTAAGTTTCTTCTCCCCCTTCTTCTGAGTCACACAGGTGGAGATTTGTTCTTACATGTGATTGCTCTTCCCTTTTATTGAGAACCTTCTCTTACTCTGTGGCTTTCCTTGGGCATATCCAGATGCCAGTTTCACCACTCTCGATTTCAGAGCCACTATTAGGTAAAACAAGAATGGCTTAGCCACAAGCGTTGTGACATTGAAATTGGCAACTATCTGATCCCCAGACAACCACTGAGAGACTATCCTGTGAGATGAATTCACATATATGTGTGTGTGTATATATATACACATATATATATATTCTGCACAGAGTTAGGTATGTCTCAGGAAGAAAGAACACAGGACAGTATGAGACTTCACCATACCGCTCAGGACAACATTCAATTTATAAACTGTATTTCTGGAATTGTCCTTGTGCATGTGTGGTGCTGGGGATGAAAACTAGGGCCTCATGAAAGCTAGACAAGCAGCCTTCCACTAGCTCTCTAGGCTCCCAAATGGGACAAGCTAATGTATCTGAAGCCTCTGATAAGGGGAAGTCCTGTATTGCCAATCCGACTCTCACATGATGGACATTTTTTTTTTTGTACCCACTTCCTGTTCAAGGCTGCCTTTTCTTCACAGCTGTACTAATCCTCACTCTCCTGACTGTTCTGTGTTTGCATGAGATAGCCCCTTATTGATCTGCATTGCACCCTGAGTCAAGGTGTGTGGGCATCAGGCTGTGTACTTCTGAAACCCTGAGTATTACCCAGGATACTCTAAAAAGCAGAAGTGATAGAATGGATCTACATATTAAAATGAGATTTATTAGAGTGGCTTACAGACTGTGTTCCGGCTAGTACAATGACTGTTTTCCAACAGAAAGTTCAAGAATCTAATAGTTGTCTGATCTATGAGGCTGGATGCCTCAGTGGGTCTTCAGTATACATCAGAATCCTAAAGACATAGGCTCTACTACTAGTGAAGGTATGTACTTACCAATGAGAGTGAGGGCAAGCCGGCAAAAAAGCAAAAGCTTTCTTCCACGTCCTTTATATAGGCTGCCACCAGAAAGTGTGGCCCAGAATTAGATGTTTTCTGACCTTAAATGATCAATCAAGAAAAATTCCAGGCGGTGGGGGCATGCATCATTAATCCCAGCGCTCAGGAGGCAGAGGCAGGTGGATCTCTGAGTTCAAGGCCAGCCTAGTCTAATTCCAGGGCAGACAGTCAGGGATACACAGAGGAATCATGACTTGAAAAACAAACCAAAAAAAATCCCTCACAGGTGTACCCAGCAGCTTCAGCTTTAGTTAACTCCAGACCAAGAACTATCCGGGTTGACCTTGAACTCAAACCAATTCTTCTGCCTCAGTCTTCCAAGTGCAGGCATTACAGATGTGTAACAAGTTCTGCTTTAAAAATCTTTTATTACCTTTAATTGTTCTTAATGTTTATTTATAGTGTTAAAGATCCAATTTTTCTTGTTGTTCTGAGACAGGGTAGCCCAGGTTAGCCCTGAACTATCTGAGGTTAAGGATGAATCTGAAGTTCTGCTCTTCAGTTTCACCACTGGAGTGATTGGGATTCACACACACACACACACACACACACACACACACACACACACACACACACACATGCACTTAAGGAAAATACTTGGAACATTGGTATTAGGGCCAATATTCTTCAGAGAAGTCCCCTAGAAGCACAATGGTAAGATCCTGTGTGTACTGAGTTCTCCTGGGTTTCGGATTCCTGCCTTTTGGATGGAAGCCCTCCTCAACTGGCCTTCATAACCTCTGTCTCCTTCCTTTGCAGCCACTCGGGAGTCAGCCTTTGTCCATGCCATTGCCTCTGCTGGAGTGGCCTTTGCAGTGACCCGCTCATGTGCAGAGGGTTCAGCTGCCATCTGTGGGTGCAGTAGCCGCCTCCAGGGTTCCCCAGGCGAGGGCTGGAAGTGGGGCGGTTGTAGCGAGGACATTGAATTTGGCGGAATGGTGTCTCGGGAGTTTGCTGATGCCAGGGAGAACCGGCCAGATGCCCGCTCTGCCATGAACCGTCATAACAATGAGGCTGGGCGCCAGGTATGTACACAGAACCCCAGGGTTCCAAAGCAAGAGCTGCTTTTTCGCTGGGGTGCCCAGAGGGGCAGAAGAGGGTGGAGGAAGGCTGCTCTTGGTGACCAGGCTGCTTACCTTCTATCAAAGGATATTGTGACACTACTCAGCAGTACCTCAAGTGTCTAGTATGTTCCCAGAGGATGCCAAGCTCACCTTTGGACTTAGGGCTCCTGGGAAGTAGACAAGTGGAGGGGAAGTAGCCATAGAGCATGTAGTATCCTAGGGTTCTGCATACATGAAAGGACAAGACATGAAAGGAAAAAAAATAGAGAGGGGAGAACTAGACAAATGGATGGGGATATGTATGTATGTATGCACATATTAGATATAATTTGAATTTACATAGAGAATTATAGTGATAGAGATGATTGATACATGCTATTGAGACAGATGGAGAGAGGGAGGGAGAGAGACAGAGAGATAGAGAGACAGAGAGATTATGATGAGAATGTGAGACTCTGGAACAGAACAGGGACCCATGATAACACAGCATTGTTGGAAGGTTTTGCCTTCCTCCGGGAATCTCACTGGACTTCAGGGGCTGATGCTGAGATTCCAGGAGAAGGTGAAGGTTTAAACTTTCATACACAGAAGCTCACCCTCAAATATGCCTAGTGTCCCTCACACACAGAGTCCTGCTTCCTTTCAGAAATGAGTGTCCAGATGGGTAGAGCTCAGTGGTATAACAGAGTCAAGAACCGAGTCATCAACTGGAGAGGGACCTCGCACCACCCAAGAATGTCTGTCCTTAGGTGTCTTGAGAAACAGAGCTGACTATAGGAGTGAAAACAGAGACATTTCTTGAAAGTGTATTTTACAGGCATTTAAAACCTGGTATGGTGGTGCAGGCCTGTAATCCCAACACTCAGTAAAGGCAAGGCAGGAGGATCAGACATTCAAGATCAGCTTCTATTACATAATGTTTGAGGCCGACCTTGTACATGAGACCCTGTCTAAAAAGCAAGCAAGCAAGCAAGCATTTCATAACTACTGGCTCCTCTGTCCAGCTCCTGTGACCAGGCAACTGCCTGTCCTTCACTGTGGCAGACACTGGAGATGTCAAGCGTACCCAAGTGCAAGTGGACACAGTGAAACTTAGCTCTGTCCATCAGGAACTTCAGACCCTCAGACCCATGTGTCTTCCTAAAGCTCAACACTAGTTCAAAATCCACATATCCCTCAGACAAATGCTAGGATGTCCTCCTGTGAGAAACTCAGCTCTCCCAGAATGAAGGGAGGGGGTTCCTAAATCTTGGCAGTTGGATCACTTTATAGTGAGTGTTGAAGGTGATAATTGCCTCCCACATGCAGGAATTTCCAGAAAGCAGCAGGGGTGGGGGTGAGCAGTGAGTGGCTCAGGTCTTTAATCTTAGCAGAGGTGAGTGGGTCTCTGAGTTCTGAGGCCAGTCTGCCTTACACAGAGAGTTCCAGGCCAGCTGGGACTACAAATTGAGACCCTGACTCCCTGCCCTGCTCCCCCTCCAGAAAACCCCACAAAAAACAGAATTTTCAAGAACCACACAGTAAAACAAACAAAACCAAGAGTTTAGATGTTTTTCAGGCCAGCAATCATAGCACTTGGGAGGCTGAGGCAGTAAGGTCATAAGTTTGAGCCTGGGCTATATTGAGTTTGAGGCCAGGCTAGGTTACATAGTGAGAACTTGTCTCCAAAAAAACAAAAACAAAAAACCCTTTTATTAAAAAAAAAAAAAACATACAGAATATGCATAAAATAGGCACTGTAAGAAAAAGAGAAAAGTCAAAAAAGCTATCACACTATCACTATCCCCAGAGAGATCACTGTCCCTGTGACATTGGAACAATATGTTAGTTTTAAAAAGGAACAACAAAGAAGAGCTCTTAGAAATTAAAAATATGGGGAAATAGAAACTAAAAATATGGGGCCTACAAGATGGCACAACAGATAAATGGACTTGCCCCTAAGGCTGCTAACCTATGTTTGATCCCTATAACCCACAAAGGAGAAGGAAGCACACACTCCTTCTGTAAGTTGTCCTCTGACCTTCACACCCTGTGACATGCATGTGTGCATTTATATATGCACACAGTAAATGAATAAAAGTTGGGCTGTTTGTTTGCTTGTTTGTTTTTGACACAGGGTCTCTGTGTAGTTGTGGTGGTCCTAAAACTCACTTTGTAGACCAGGCTGATCTTGAACTCAGAAATCTGCCTGTTTCTGCTCTGGGGTGCTGGCATTTAAAGTATGTGTCACCATGCCTGATCTTAGTACTTTTTTTAAAAAAAAATTGCTGGGCAGTTGTGGCACACACTCTTAATCCCAGCACTTGGAGGCAGAGGAAGGTGGGTCTTTGTGAGTTTAAGGCCAGTCTGGTCTACAAAGTGAGTCTAGGACAGCTAGGACTATTACACTGAGAAATCCTTTAAATGTCTTTTAAAAAACCCAAAACCAGAAACAACAACAAAAAATGTAAAAATATGATAAAAAGAACTAACATTTCATCAAGAGTTTTGAGACAAGGGAGAATTTGAAGAGGAAGCTGGCAACGACATAGACAGGAAAGCATTTCTATAACAAAGGTTTTAGCTTGCATAGGCCTGGCTGCAAGGATGGAGAAAGAAGCATGGAAAGGGATCAGGGGTCAAGAGCCCTCAGCTGATGGGTTGCAACTCCTTTGGGTGGAATGACCCAAGTGCATACCACAAATTTACAATACAATTCATACCAGTATCAAAAGTACAGTTATGAAGTAGCAGTGAAATAATCTTATGGTTGGAGGTCACTACAGCATGAGGACCTGTATTAAAGGGTTGTAGCATTAGGGAGGTTGAGAACCCTGTTTTAGAGGACCTGCATTTGGTTCTCAGCACCTACACAGGGTGGCTCATAACTGGCTGTAATTCCAGCTCCAAGATACCTGCTATCCTCTTCTGGCACCTGAACATACATGCAAACACACACACACACACACACACACACACTAGGAAAAGCCAGCACACACACACACACACACACACACACACACACACACACACACACGGAAAAGCCAGCTGGGTGATAGTGGTACAAGCCTTTAGTCCCAACACTTGGTAGGCAGAGGCAGGCAGATCTCTGTGACTTCAAGGTCAGCCTGGTCTACAAAGTGAGTTCCAGGACAGGTTCCAAAGCTACAGAGAAACACTGTCTAGGAAAAAAAAATGGGGAAAGCCCCCTTCCTCAAGATATGTTATGGAATTCAGAGTCTGTAACCTAGAGAAATCCTCCAAGCTTCAAAGAGAATATTTGGTGTTCTTGCGAAGGATGGGATGTCAAAGATATCTTTGGAAACTAGAAGAAAATAGAGCAACACTTTGAGGATTCTGAGTGACAAATGATTTTAAATAAAGAATCTCATTCCCAGCTGCACTATGAAAAGAGGTACAGTAGAACAGATTGTCTTCAGACAGTACCATTTCACAAAATTTACCAGTGGCAAAAGGATGTCTTGAAGGTGAAATGAGAAAATATCTTTTGTGTGTTTTTAATATTTTTATTGCTCTGTGTGTGTGTGTGTGTGTGTGTGTGTGTGTGTGTGTGTGTGTAGATGCATGTTCCATGGCGTGTGTGCATAAGTTAGGGGACAACTTTCAGAAGTCGGTTTTCTCATGCCACTATGTAGTTCCTTGTGATGGGACCTTTACCAGCTGAATTACCTCACCTTTTTTTTTTTTTTTTTTTTTTTTTTTTTTGATGCAAAATTTCATGTATTCCAAGCTGGCCTTGAATTCTCTATGTAGCTAAGAATGACTGTCTTGCAAACTCCTGCTTCCACTTCCCATGTGCTGGGACTATGGACATGGACCACCACATTCACTTAATGAGATGCTAGGGATCAAATCCAAGCCTTCATGCCCAACATGCTAGGCAAATGCCCTACCAACTAAGTTTCATCCCCATCCCTGATGCTTTGACATTTTAAGAGGATGTTTAGAGATGCGAAAACACAGGGCTGACCTATGACAGGTGTGTTAATCACAGAACAGGAAGTTGTGTGGGAAGAAAATGTCACTTAGGGTATGCCTGCTAACACAGCCAATGCCATCAGAAGTGAGTATTGAAGGGAGAGATCATCCTCAGATTTTTAGGGCAGAAACGGGGAGGGTTTGGGTGTGTAGTAAGAGGTGAGAGAGAGCAGTAGATTTCAATACTTTCAATGGTAAGAAAGCAACAGACAATACCTCACACCCGCCTTCCTGGCCCTGCTCTGTGCTTCTCTCTTCAGGCAGGATTCCCATTATCCGGGTTGGTGGTGTGAGCATCGGAGTGCTGTGACAGCCCTGCACACGACAAGCAATGCTTTGCATGGTTAGGAATTATGCCACATAGGCAAGCACTGGCCAGGATTCCTGCTTTAACCAGCTGGTCTCAGCTGCTTTTGAGATCTTTGACCAAGTAAAACAAAAACAAAAGAAACAGAGAAAGGAGAGATGGAAAAAGTCTCAGAAAGTCTGGCTGTGAAAGACAGGCTTTGGGTATTAGACAAGCTGGACAAGCTGGGCATGGTGTTATTCTACCATGCCCATGGGCCAGTTCAATAGGAAGGACGAAGAAGCAGCTGAGTTAGATGAGGTGCAAGCAGATCTAAACCCAGAATGATTGACACCTTAAGACAATGCTTTCAGATAGAGATCCTTGCAAGCCACAGCCAGAGCTGCTTGGGTAGTTTAGCTTTCAGGTAGTTTTCTCTCGGGTTGAAAGAAAACCAAGTTAAAATACACTTGGAGTCTTTTGAAAGAGTCTTCCAATATAGCTCAGACTAGCCTCCAACTCTCAATCCACTCTCAATCCACTTAGATTATAGTCATGTGCCATCATAATGGGCTGGTCTTCCTCTTTTATCACAACCCTCTCTCCTCCGCTCTTCCATCCAAGACTGTATACAGAATGAACAAAAGAGAACTATGAAGAGAAGAGGAAAGGAGAGGTGGAGAGAGGAGTGGACAGGAGGAGAGGAGGAGAGAGGAGAGGAAACTGTAAGGGCCAAGGAGCACATGGAGATGGCTTGTGTCTCAGATTCCTGATAGTCTACCAGAGCAAGTGGGCGGCAGATGGGCAGCAGGCAAGGTCCTTGAGAGGGAAGCTTCTAACATAACTTTCCTGGCTCCGTTTAAAATATTTTAGAGCCCAGCATTGGTGGCGCACGCCTTTAGTCCCAGCACTCGGGAGGCAGAGGCAGGCAGATCTCTGCGAGTTTGAGGCTAGCCTGGTCTCCAGAGCTAGTTCCAGGACAGGCTCCAAAGCTACACAGAGAAATACTGTCTCGAAAAACCAATAAAATAAAATGTTTTAACTGCCATCATAATTGAACACACTTAAGGGCTGCAATGAGACCTTTCGATATGTGACTATAAAACATCATGACCAGATCAGGGTAGGAAGCATTCCTATCACCTGAAAAATTATTTCAAACAGTCATGGTTGTGCGTATCTGCAATCCCAGCCCTTGGAGGCACAGGCAGCATTGCCACCATGTACTAAGTTCCAGACCAGCCAGCACTACATAGTGAGAGAGAACCTGTCTCGAAATGAAAACAATATTTTTCTGTTTGAACATTCAAAACCTCCCACTCATCATTTGAAGTAGTTCTTTGTCTACTGTGGTGGTCCCTTGTGCTATAGACTATCAACAGGTACATATTCTTCCCTTTCAATGAGGACCTCTTCAAGTTCTTAGCATCACCACACTTGGGACCAAGCATCCAGCACGAGAACTTGGACCTCAGCCAGATCTAAAAAGTAACTACCCCCAGGGCCAGCTTGTTATTTCAGTAGTACAGTGGATGTTGAAATTATGAATGTGACATCCTGCATGCTTTTTTGTACGATGAGACTTAAAGGCTCAGTGTGTGTGCACAGAAAGGAAAGACACGAGGAGGTGTCCAGAGCAGATGTTCATGGACTGGGTGGGAAGGCTCGAAGTCTGGGGCAGAGGAACAGGGAGTAGTCCCTGTATGTGGCAGGGTGGGTCACTGGAGACAGTTCTGAGGGTTGCACGCCCCCTTGTCCCCAGCCCTTTCCCTAAAGGAAGGAGGCAGGAGTCCCTTCTTCTTGAAGCACATCTACTTCTTCCCCTAAAGGAGGAGCAAGGTCTCATTATCTATAGGGAAGGCTGCTGCTCATGCAGGGCCCTGGGAGTAAAGGGACTACTCTAAGCACCCCTGCTCGGCACTCCTAGTCTTTAGATCAAGTCCATAGCATCTGCTCTGGACAGCTCCCCACACCTTCCCGCCAGCATCCTCACACTGTCCACCTGAAGCTCCCTGCTTCCTGAACTCTTATCTTAAAAATCCCTGGAAAGAGAATAGATGAGTCTATATGGAGAAAGAAGCTCCCAGGCCCCTGAGGCCTTGGATCTGTCAGGGAAGACCCAGGTCATAGAAAGTAGTGGCACCAGGTTCCCACAGAAAGGAGTCGTGGGGGCTTTTCTGGAATAGGTGGGCTGCAAGCAAAGAGCAGACCCCCTGGTTGAGGCACACCAGGGGCAGACACAGGCTTATGTGCTTGCCTCCTCAGGCCATCGCTAGTCACATGCACCTCAAGTGTAAATGCCACGGACTATCGGGCAGCTGTGAAGTGAAGACCTGCTGGTGGTCGCAGCCCGACTTCCGCACTGTCGGGGATTTCCTCAAAGACAAGTATGACAGCGCCTCCGAGATGGTGGTGGAGAAACACCGTGAGTCTCGTGGCTGGGTGGAGACCCTGAGACCACGTTACACGTACTTCAAGGTGCCCACAGAGCGCGACCTGGTCTACTACGAGGCCTCGCCCAACTTCTGTGAGCCGAACCCTGAAACCGGCTCCTTTGGGACACGCGACCGCACCTGCAACGTGAGCTCGCATGGCATAGATGGGTGTGACCTGCTGTGCTGCGGGCGTGGCCATAATGCACGCACTGAGCGACGAAGGGAGAAGTGCCACTGTGTTTTCCACTGGTGCTGCTACGTCAGTTGTCAGGAGTGCACACGCGTCTATGATGTGCACACCTGCAAGTAGGAGAGCTCCTAACAGAGGGAGCAGGGTTCATACTTAGGGGCAGGGTTCCTACCTGTGGGCAGGGTTCCTACTTGAAGGGGTCTCATACCTGAGGATCCAGTTCCTACTTGAGGGTAGGGCTCCTACCTGTGAAGGGCTCTAGGGACCCAGTTTCTGCCTTCAGACTGGGCTCTTACTTGGGGTCTAGGTTTCTTTTTAGTGGAGAGGCTCCTGCCTGGGATGTGGGGTTTCTACCTAGGGTGGGGTTCCACCTAGGTTCCACCCCCCAATCTGGGATGGGGGTCCTACCATATATGGGTTGGGCTCTTCTCTTGACCCCAAAGGGCTCAAACCAGGACAGGTGAGCAACTCCCTTAACTAGCTGGGGTCTGTGGATGTGGGCGGGGGTTGGGGGGGGTCCCTCCTCCCAAAGGCGCTGCTCTAGATAGATTAAGAAGGTGCTTCAGGGTGGGCCCTACTGAGCTTGGGGATCCAGTGGGGGTGGGATTTCACCCTGAGTGGGTGGAACTTCTGAGCAAGAAGAAAGGAAGGAGACACCCCTGCCCGCTGGGTTGGGGTGAGGCAAGGCTTCACTGAGAACTCCTGGGACAGAACTCCAGGGAAGGAGGAGCTCCTGAGTGAGCCTAGGCTCTCAGCAGGTAATTCAGCTGTCATATAGCTCCTTTTCCCTCGCCATGTGCGGTTCCACCTGCAGGCCTCATCAGTGCATATAGCAGGGTCTCCTGGCAGAATGAACCATGGAGAACTCAGGGGTGATGCCAGGTCCCACTCCCATGCCTGGGAACCCCTTTCCAAGCCCTGTACCCCCTTCTACCGGTGTGTTCCCACCCTCCTTACCAGATCTTTCCTGAGGAAAATTCGCAGTCCCCTCCCCCCAGGGTTCACATGACCAAGCATGGAACAGAGCTCTATCCTGAGTAGAGAGGGTACTTAGGGGATGGGGGCTGCTAGGAAGGATCCGGGGGACTGGCATCTTCCCACCATAGCCTGTCTCTGCCCTGACACCTGACACTCAGATCTATTCCCAGGAAACTTTCCAAGATCATCTGGTCAGTGATGTCCAGGCCCCACAGGTGCTCAGAGATGTCGGCCTCACTTTGAGTTACAGGAACTTCAGGGACATTAGGGCACAGCTGCAGAGGCAAGGTGTCTTCTGGAGCCAACCCCTCCCCCACCCACGTTCAGGACTGATCCCCAGAGCCTGCTGTTTAGGTGATGGTCACCAGATCTGTTGGCCACCAGCCTGTCCCCATGCTTCTCTTGCATCTGTCTGGCCTGAAAGTGAAACACTGCAGGCCATCTGCCACAAGAGCTTCCTGAATCACTGCCACTGTGAATTGTCCTTACCCCCAGGCAGGGGTGGGGGTTTGGCCACATAGGAGTGTGCCCCAAGAGCACCGAAGAGAGGCCATGTATGGTGACTGTCTTCTGCCTGGAACTTTGCATTTGGGGTTGTAATTTTATTTCCAATGCTGCTATATCCACCATCACTGGAGTTAGACAAACGTGACTTTTTTTCTTTTTTTGTTTCTTTCTATGAAAGAAATTATTTTAGTTTATAGTATGTTTGTTTCAAATAATGGGGAAAGTAAAAAGAGAGAGAGAGAAAAACCCCAAGTCTGTGGTTTGTACTAGATTTTCCCTTTTATTAACATGTATTAGTTAAACATATTGATGGAGTTTGGTATGGCATCCTGTGATGATCCCCTGAGGGTAATTCACGTTTCCCTGTCCTTATTATTTGCGGTGGGTCTGTATTATCTTGGTGACCTGAAGATGCCAGCTCAGGGGCTGGGTCTCAGGACCAAGTAGAGAGCATCATCAATCCTCCAGGGAATTCTGTTGACCCAGGACTCCAGGAAGAAAGAATAGAAAAGAGCCAGGCAATTGTAGCAACATCTGGTATAGAGCAGACTTGAGAGCTTAGAGACGTGCAGATGGGGTTTTAAGTTTAAGAAAGCTGGGGAGCCATACAGTAAGTAACGAGGATACTTTGGTAGCCCCAGTGAATAGATGAGGAGCCTGGATCACTGGAGAAGAACTTTGACCAAGACCCCTCACATACCAGTGATACAGGAGAAACATGGAACAAACCATCTCCCCATGAATTCAAAGTCACACAGCTGATATCCCAAGATTACCGTATTTAGGGTATGGCAGCCCTCAGGATTTAAGGACAGTGGTCTGGCTTGCTGCTGGTGGCCTTTAAGTGTAGAGTTAACTGGATCCTAGGAGCACACTCAAGGCTTCAGTTGGGGCTGGACACCAGAAACATCTCACATTCCCACTCAGAAAAAGCTTTGGATGGAGGTGGTCTTTGTTCAAGAGCCACCATACTCGCATTTGCCTTCACAAGGGGCCTAAAGTCTCAGCCAAGTCAGGTAAGGTTAATCATCTTGTTGGTGAGCCAAGTGATTAGGGGAGGGTTTTAGGGGCACCATGAAGTGAAGGCTCAAGACCTATCTCAAATCCATACTTCTCTCAGGGCCACAACGCTGTCTTTGGCAAGCCCTACCATGTCTCTGCTCCTTTCCCTGCTCCCCCACATCCATCCCTATATTGTCCCCATGTCTGGGTTCTGTCCTGAGGTTCAGATGCCAGAGCAATGGATGTTCTGATAAAGCTGAGAGCGGCAGGTCCCACCTCTTAAAACCCAAGTTAGCTGGACATAGTGGCACACGCCTTTAATCCCAGAACTTGGGAGGCAGAGGCAGATGGCACTCTGTAAAGTCAAAGTCAGCGTCATTTACAAAGGGAGTTCCAAGACAGACAGGGTGGTTACACAGAGAAATCCTGTCTCAAAAAACCAAACCAAATCAAACCAAAAACCTGGGAAGAGAGGCTGTGGGGTAAGGGGAGACTCAGGCAGGCCCTTCCAGGCCCATTTGACCCAGAATTGTAGCTGAATCTGTGAGGTTGGTCCATGCTGACCACTAAAAGCCAAGACTGCTGCACACATGCCACACAAACTTACCCATATGTCTGGTAGCCCAACATTATGTCACATTGGCTGGAACCACACTCTGAATGCCATTTGTCAGAGCAGTCTGCCCCTGGCTTTGTGGCAGGGCCACTTAAGGAGGTTCTTAAGCCTTCAAAGCAGTCACAAGCAGTCCTAAGACCCTACTGGAATCCCCTGTATCCTTAAAGAGGTACACTGGGAAGGAACCCCTAGATCCTGGGGCATAAAGATGGAGCCAGACATTTGCCTGGTCTGTATTGTGCAAGTATTGTCCACCTAACCTGCTAGCTAATCCTTGTGCACTCACCCCTTCCCGGGCCAGATTCAATCTGTAGGCTGCTGATCCATGGCCTGAGATAGCTCAGTCCATCACACTGAGAATACAGGCCCTCCTTTGTCACATTGTCAGACCTAAACACCAAGGTACCCGGAGTCCCAGTAGGGTACAAAAGGAATAGCCAGCCTGGCCTGATGATACAGGCCCATAATCCTGGCTGCCACAGAAGCGAAGGCAGGAGGATCACAAATTCAGAACTGCCTGGGATACAGAGCAAGGTCAAGACCAGTTTAAGTAATTTAGTAAGACTCTGTCTCAAAATGCAAAGAAAGGGTTGGGATGTGTACCTCGGTGGCAGATGCTTTGCTAACATGTGTGAGACCCTGGACTCCCATAAGCTATGAGGGTCACTGACGACCGAGTGGTCTGGGGGGAAGGAATGCTGTGCTGGAGTTCTCTGGCCCCTGGAGAACTGGCCAGATCTGTTCAGGACTTATGGAGGAACAGGGTGTAGGTCCAGGTTCTGAACTATTAGTGCCCCTTCTTTAGCCTTCTGATTCCCTGCATCTTGGCAAGTAGGCAACCTAATGTCATTTATTCCTATGCATAGCTCCCTCTCCTCAGCCTCAGGGCTTGCTATCCCCTTGCTGGTGCATTCCAGGCAGGCTGCCCACTCTCATGGCTGCAGGTATAGTAAGTAGGCCCTGACTGACCTACCATTGACAGGACTACCTAGAAATTCCCAGTAAGGTCAGTGGGGCCAGCCAGCTGCGAGTGAACACTTTGTAAAGAGGGTGGCATGTTCAGGGCCAGCCAAGGCAGAAGGACAAGCACCCATTCTCCCCTCCGGGGAGTGAGTCACTAGCTGGCAAGGGGGCAGGTTCCGGAAGAGTCCACTAAGTCTGCTGAACCATCTTGGGTGCTAACAATAATAAAGCCATCAGTCCCTAGGGCGGTGATGAGAGTCCTTAGTTAAGCCTGTCGGACAGATGAGTAGCTCCTCTGGTTGGCACCCTGGGCGGGAGCCACCCTAATTAATACCTGCTACCCTACTGCCCAGATGAAAGGGACAGACTCGACTGGGAGGCGGCAGGGCAGTGGCACAACCAGCAGGTCATTGGGACCTGAGAAGTTGGAGTCCAGTGGGTATCGAGATTGTCCAGGTGCCACACAGCTTTTGGGGATGCATGCAGAAGACAGACCACTTTAGAGGTTAAAGAGCCCACATACCTCCAGATAAGTCTGGGAAGGTTGGAACACCTAGGCCTAGGGAGGAAGCAGCATTGGCCCGAGGGCATGCCAGGGATCCAGGTGGGCTCTGGAGTCTAGGTGCAAGTTTCTGAGCAGCAGCCCCAACGGGCCCAGCATGAGAGACTACCATGAAGATGGTCTTGGCTGTCCAGACGAGACACACTAGGCTGTGGTCCTAATGGCTATAGTGTACTCAGAAAGGAAGAGTGCCCATGAATAGAACATCCACAGCCCATGGGAACATGAGACAGACCCCAGATAATGGTCTAGCCATGTGGAGCTAGGAGGTAAAACCCTGAATATGTTGCCTGGCAAGAGCAAGCTCCACTCCTCTCTGGGCCTCAGTTTCTCTCCTTGCAGAAGGAAGTGGGATGAACTGCAACCCCCAGTCCTAGGTGGTGGGAAGTCCTTGGCCCCACTCAGATGCAGCTGTGGTCCTCAGAGGCTGCCTCTCTGGTGAATTTACAGCCCCTCCCGCTGCCCTGGAGAAGGAGGAAATGAGCTGGGGGCCTGTTCACAGGTAGTTGAGACAGCCCCCGAATAACCATATAAAAGGGCCGGAGGCTGGGGGCCCCACCCAGCCAGGACAAGCTTGGCCATCCCTTTGCAAATCTCACACTCAGTAGCTTTGAAGTACTGGAAAGGGTGTGGCCAGCCCCCACCTTGGGGCCCCGCTGACCCTCCCTCTTTCTGTCACCCCCTCCCCTGGACGCCCACTTTCTGGGTCCTGGGGCTCAGTTTCCTTTCTTCAGAGACAGACTGGGGGCTGTCACCATGGCCTGACCTCCAAGAAAACCTACTCTTAGGACAGCTGGGGTGCAGCCAGCTGTGGTTCCCACACCTGGCTTGGGACTGAGAAAACAGACCTGAGAACTAGCT